GTATATACATATATGAAGCCTCAGGTATTCCTGTTAGGGAATGTGATAGCTAATCTTTCATCTGCACGGTCCCTCACCATTCCCTGCCCATGAAGTTAGGGGTATAGATCAAACATATATATATATTTGCCTACACATACCAAGGCACTGCAACACCCCAAACAAATAAATCGAGGTCTATTGAGAACTACCCTGACAAAGCTACAGTGGTGTTGGCGTGCAGAATAAACAAGCTCATGCAATCCAACACTAGCAGGCGATATATCAATCACCCTGTTTGATCTATCAATCGAACACGTGGCGACGCACAATCGCATGCTTTCCTAGCACGGTTCTATGTTACAATATATAATAGATATGTGCGACAACAGACAACAATACGTTGTCAGCAACTCACCCCTACAACGTGTACAATCACGCACTGATGATCTTGAGCGGAAGAGTGGCTGGCACGGCTATAGGTATTAAAACCCACACTCGGTTTACATAAGAATAACTTGTTAATATCGGATTGAACCCCACTACGCACTCGAACACGAGTAGATGATATCACAGCAAGACTAAGTGGCTTAAAAGCCGGCACCAAACCCGTGGACCCTGTTTCCCTGACGCTGGAGGCGCGATTGGCGAATCTCAATGAGAATTCGTACTATGTGCGACACCATGGAAGTAGGGCGGCCACGGGGAGCACAGCACAACCGAAACAGACTGTGTATTTGGTGAGTGGCTCGGGTGAGAGAAGACGGTGTGTGTTCGAGGATATGTGTAGGCCTGTATGGGTGTATGTTTATGCGTATATGATGTTGTTAAGAATGAATTTTTTGTTTTTGTTTTTTGTGTGTGGATGTGCGTTGTAAGTATATGTCAGAGCGGACTGTGAATTACACAAAACTGTGGCCATTGCGAACATACGGTGTATGTTACAATGCTATATACATACATGTAGTATATTTGTATATACTTATCGTATTCGCTACAGAGAAATATATCGAGGGTGCATGCTACAATACTATATACATACATGTAGTATATTTGTATACACTTATCGTATTCGCTACAGAGAAATATATCGAGGGTGTATGCTACAATACTATATACATACATGTAGTATATTTGTATATACTTATCGTATTCGCTACAGAGAAATGTATCGAGGGTGAACATACGGTGTATGTTACAATGCTATATACATACATGTAGTATATTTGTATATACTTATCGTATCCACTACAGAGAAATGTATCGAGGGTGTATGTTACAATGCTATATACATACATATAGTATATTTGCATATACTTATCGTATTCGCTACAGAGAAATGTATCGAGGGTGTATGCACATGCGGTCATATATACTGGCTCATACCCTGAGCAAAGTGCTTTTATGATACATCACGCCAAATGAGAAGTTACAGCTTGGCTGGCTCCCTTAAGGGTTCTAGGGTTTTAGGGTTTCAGGGTTTTACCTAGGACTTGAACATATGTTCGATTTTTGATGTTACTAATTGGCGAGGGGGCGGTATCGCGGAAGTGGTACAAACTGGTAGGAAATGAATCGCCATAAAATCAAAACTGATAACTCAGCGAGTGTCTCTGAGGTGGGAGATTGCAATCTGCCCGTTCTCTTCAGGTGTAAATGTACAGTGTCTCTAAGGTGGCGATTGCAATTAGCCTATCCTCTTCATGTGTAGATGTATAGGGTTTTATTAGTACGTCAAGTGTCCGCGTCTGGCAAGAACCTCAAAGAGTGGATGTGGTACGAAGCTGTATATGTTATGAAGTTCATGTGGCTTCTGGAAAACGTATACAGCCAAAGGGGCCCTCCTACAGGATTCTCCAGTAGGGGTTCGCATTTGTTCAGTTTCTTCGTATATACATCCAATTAACGTGTATTTATATTTGTAGAATTCATATGTTCAGGATTTACTAGTTCGTCGAGAGTGGTACTGTACGCCGGGTGGTGTATTGCTATGTTCTTATATGGGTTACGGTCGTAAAATTTAGGGTTTCAAGATGGGGGGGGGGGGGGGTGGGGCAACTGTTCTATATGTGGAAAATAAGCCAAATGTAGATTTATTGTCTATCCGTAGATCAATACCTTTTTATGAAAAATATATATACAGACATACAAACACACACACACACACACACACACACACACACACACACACACACACACACACACACACACACACACTACAGACACGACGACCGANACCGAACGAGGAGGTACGAG